CAATTAGATCACATCAACTCCACGTAGACGTGAAAATTCAACGAATCTAAACCACAACTATGCACACATTCAGAATCTATGGTTTAAGCTGTGTCATCTACTGTGCCAGTGTCTGTGGTTTAGTCTCAGCTGGGGACACACTACATGACTTTATTTAATGCTGACAGTGGAACTCCTGGTTTTAACGTCCACGTGGGTCAGGAATGGGAATCATTCCCATCTGTGCAACAAAGCAAACAAAAGAGTTCAGCGTGAAACTAGCATCACTATAAGCATTAATCTATTCAACACTGCCGTATGCAGGAGAAGAAGAAAGCTACAGATTGTGTACATAAGTGGCTATTTGGTCAGCAAGCAGTGGTTATGAGCTCAGGTCAGGCCTGCACACCAGAACAGGTGGACCTCACACAGAAAACTTTAAAACTTTATTTTTGTTTTACATAAAAACACTATTTTTAGTATTTCAGAGGTTTCAAACCTAAATCCTACATTTTCTGAATAAAATGTTGAACACGGATTCAAAGGCATCTCTGACTTTAATAATAACAATGATAAAGCTGCTTTGACACATTCAGCCCAAACTATAGTGTTTCTGTGTCGTGAGTCATGCAGTGCCTCCCCAGCCTCAAGCAGCACTGTGATCGTGGTGGAAACACAACGAGGTCTCTATTGCCAACTACTTCAAAAGCTGGTCTGGCTACAAAAGCAGCAGACGTACCCCCACGTGCTCTGCACTGTCCGTCTTCCTTTTCTGCGTGAACACAGGAAACGTCGTCTTTGTCTCATCGTGAAACGTAACTCACATCAATCCACTGCATATTCATTTGTGTCCAAAGTAGTAAATGAAACCACACGATGGTGATTAAAATGCATACTTAGCAAAAAGCACTTCCTTTCACATAATGCAACAAGTCAAATTCATGAAACCAGCAACACGTTTTTAACAGGTCATGAAGACAAGCGGACTACCACAGGCAGGAACACGAGTCCGTCTGACTCTCTGACCCTAACCCTAACACTCCCTCACTGGACTGTGCTTAAAGGGAAACCAGAGCTATTTAATGAGCCTCAGAGATGATGCAGCACATTTCACAGAACTGTCAAATCAAACAACAGCAATGCTGCAGAGCTCTGCTTCCTCTTTCTTTCTCACTATTGAGCACACCGACAACATCGTTGTGTCTGGGATTTGTAAACATGCTGTTTGCCCGGCAGGCAAATGACCTCAACCTACTATAAACCGTATCCACAGTCCCCAACACCTACAGAACCTGCAAATGTAATAGAAACTAATTGAGATACTGGGTAAAGCAGCATAGCCTAGCATACCAGCAGCAACCAAGGAGGATGACTCTCAAACGGTCAACTGTCCATATACGTACGATGACATAAGTACTACTGACCTCCATCAATGCTGGAGTCTCAGGAGCTGGAGCCAATCCCAGCTGTCTTAGGGCAAGAGGTGCAAGGCACACCTGGACAGCTAACAGCTAACACATACTCACACATTCACACGCACGCCAAGTTTCCAATTAACCCCGCTGCCTGTGGACGGTTGGAGGAAGCCGGAGCACCCGGAAAGCACCCACACAAACACGGAGCACATGCAAACTCCACCAGCCTGATGGTGGAGTTGAACTCAGAACCTTCTAGCTGTGAGGCAACAGCGCTAACTGCTGTGCCACCGTGCTGTTTCAGATGCACATGTTCCTAAAAGCGTCATAAACGTGAATTGAAGAGTTTATCTTCATGTTGAGTCAACACAGTGAAAAATGACGAACTACCTGTGACACCTGGTAGGACGGACGCATGTCTGAAGACAAGCTTCATTAATGTCCATTTTGTTGACAGTATTCAAACATGAGAGCAAACCCACGGGGGTCCAGTGGGGTGTGCAGTACGACCTGCTGTCAACAATAAGGTACATCTGTAACCTGGAGTGTGACGGTACTTACTTTGACACCATCCGGTTTTTTATTCAGCAGGCTCTTGGCTGCTGTGGAAACAAAGACAACAATGGGAGGAAATCAGACGCCAGCTGAA